TTCATCTTTGGCAATTTGGAGTTCTTTCAAGTTTGCTCTTCTCTCTTTGGCATGCCCCATCTTTTTATTTTTGAGCATGTCCTTACTTTCTGTCACAACAAAATGCTTCAGGATATGGTGGATTTCAAAATAATTTTGCTGAGTGAAAGAAGCTGGATCCCAAATAATTTATAGATATAGAAATTGAAAGGGGGGATCTATTTGGCTGAAATAACATTTTAAGTGTGGGGAAAAATGTTAGGTTTATATTACTTATAAACCTAGTGTTGAAAAGGAGATGTTTATTGGACTTCGAAGCAGAAAACTAAGTTTTAGGACATGTGTTAGAATTAGAATAGGCTTCTTACAACAAGAATGTCTATTGCAGTCTCCAAATGAGTAAAAAACCCAAGGGTATTACAGGAGAATTAAGGACATTCCTTATTTTGGGATGATTTGCTTCCTTTAAAGAATAAGTATTCTATATTCCCATGGGATTGACTTTCACATGATCATAAACCAGCCATTTCCACAACCTCTGAACTATATCATAAGCAGATACAGCCATAATGCTAAGAAAATATTTACGAAGATATTATAGAAGAACATACTGTGCTAGCTTTTAAAATCATCTATGCAACTTATATCTATGCAAAGTACATCTATGAAGTACTTTGTTAATTTGATTTAAACATACAATTGCATTGGGATTGCTATCATTGAATGAAAGGGTAAATGAATTTAAGTATAGTAAAATGTGTGGATAAGACATACCTGAAGAGTTTACTATAGTATTTTAACTCAAAGGAAAAACAAATTGGAATGGCAGCTAAATTACAGATCACTGAAATGCAAATAGAAAAAGCAATAAGCTAAAATGAAGATTTTAAATTATATATATATATATATATTCTCAACTTAATAATGAAGTGCAGTTTATAAGATGTTGTCATATAAGATTGATTTGTTTTTTTAAAGATTTTTCTCATGATTTCTCATGAGCAATGGAATTAAAGTGTCACACTCTAAGATGGATTTAAACTGAAAGCTAGAACAAAGTTTTCTCTAAGAATGACATTCAAAGAATCAAGGTTACATGATGCAAATTTTAGAGTCTGCTTTTTACAGTCTTAGGATGGCACATTTATTTCTGGAATGTTGTAGGGAGACCTCAGCCCTAAGAGAAGTTAACCATGAAACTTGATTTTGAGCTGCTCTACTTATGGAAGTTGGAAAGCCTTCATCTGTAAGATTATGATCCAGGATTTTATATTTTCACAACTGAATGTCATCTGTCACCTGAATATATGATTTTTAAGGGCAAATAATTTAATGTGCTCTGTAGAATATCATTAGTTCAGGATAATATCATATAATTCAAATGTATATGAACTGTGTTCTATCACTTGCTATGTGTCCATTTTATTGTACACATAAATAAAAATGATTTAAAATAATTTTTTTAATTCTCACTCAAGGATATGTCTTTTTGATTTTGAGAGAGAGAGAGAGAGAGAGAGAGAGAGAGAGAGAGAGAGAGAGACATCAATCAGCTGCCTCCTGTATGTGCCCTGGCTAGGGATTGAATCTACAACCTAGGTATGTACCCTGACTGGGAATGGAACCGCAGACTTTTGGTGCACAGGATGATGCTCCAACCAACTGAGCAACCCGGCCAGGGCAAAAATAATCTTTGAATTAAAAGAAAGTTTACGAATTTGTAGCAGTTGCAGTATCTGTTCTTTGAATTTCTTCTTTTATTGGAACTTAAGTCAGCCAAACTTGTCTACTTGTTCCCCTATCTCAATCATGGTTAATTCCTTGTTTTGCTGTAATCTTCACTGCAAAATTTCTTGTATTTGTGTGCACGTATATTTGGAAAACGAGCTGAGAAATGGAGGTGTGAATTATTTTCAATATTTTATTTGCTTGACTACTTAAATGGAAAATTCCTCTGAGAGAATAAGCTAAGAATATAGTAAAATAAATTATGTTGCTACCTATTGTCAATATCTTTTTCTTGGTTTTAGAAAAAATAATGACAAGTTTCTAACTCATTTTTTAGGTTAATCTCTTATGTAAGAAGTTTTAATTGATTAAATTTTTAGTACTGAAATAACAGCATTAGCAAATTTCCAATAATGCTCTTATACTGTGTCTTTTGTCCTTAAAAGTTTTGTTTAGCAGAATATAATAAGAAAGGTTGTAAAATGGCAAGGTCTATGAATATGGGGATCTTAAAAATATAATATTTCTTCATTTTGCAATAATATAGTCAGACATGCGTCTTATAAAAACTGGATACAATTATATTATTCTCCATAAATGAAAAAATTAATAATCTATGTTTGATAATCAGTTTGAAAGACATAGAAATAGCAACATAATGAATTGACACAGATACATATTATCTTCAAAGAAAAGGTAAAAAATAAAGTAAGCAAATGTAATACTAAATACTACTCTAACACAAAAATGATTATTATATTTAATAAAATGCACTTGTAATGTACATTGTTATAATTTCACTGATATCTCAGATAACTATTTCTAAATAAGAAATAATCCTATATAATAAAAGCCTAGGTTTCACCACATGATGTCATCACAAGATGGCTGCCACAAGATGGTCACCAGGGGAGGGCAGTTATGGGCAGCAATCAGGCCAGCAGTGGAGCAGTTAAGCATCAATCAGGTCGGCAGGGGAAGGGCAATCAGTCAGGCAAGCAGGCAAGCGGTTAAAAGCCAGCAGTCCAGGATTGTGAGAGGGATGTGCAACTGCCAGTTTAGGCCCAATCCCTGTGGAATTGGGCCTAAACCTGAAGTTGGACATCCCCCAAGGGGTCCCAGATTGGAGAGGGTGCAGGCCAGGCTGAGGGACACCCCCACCCTGTGCACAAATTTTGTGCACTGGGCTTCTAGTTCATTATATAACAACTAGAGGCCCAGGGTCCCTTGGAGTGGCCTGTGGGGATTGGGCTGAAGCTGGCAGTCCAATGCCACCTGCAGCTCCTGCCTGCTGCTCCCATTTATCCCAGCCCCCTGGCGCTCATGCTCAGTCAGTCCTGATCTGGAGAGGCTCACACCACAGCACTCGCCAGCCATGAGCCCTGCATCTGGCGCCTGTCCTGAGGGGGCTTTAGGGAGACCTGGATGCGTTCAGCCCCTGGGTGGGTAGTGGGACACCCTTGCCAAATCAGGATCTGGATCCCTGCCACTGACATTCGCGCCAGTTGTTGGGAGCCACCTAGCGGCCACTTTTATATAATTTCTTCCTTGTGGAGAGTCTAGAGAGGGGAAGCGACTGCAGTGGCCGAGGCCAACTTCCAGGAGGCCATCAGCACTGTCAGGATCGTGCTGGCAGCACTGGTTCATGAATGCCTGGCCTGTTCTTTGGAGATTGGTCCTGCAGGACTGCTGACAGAGTGGCTACTGCTGGGCTAGTGGGCCGCTGGGACAGGTAGGTCAGCTGAGCGGCACTCACGCTGTGGGAGTGCACTGACCACCAGGGGGCAGCTCCTGCATTCAGCGTCTGCCCCCTGGTGGTCAGTGCGCATCATAGTGACTGGTCGACCAGTTGTTCAGTCATTCGGTCACTTAGGCTTTTATATATATATACTAGAGGCCTGGTGCACAAAAATTTGTGCACTTGGGGGGATCCCTCAGCCCGGCCTGTGCCCTCTCACAGTCTGGGACCCCTTGGGGGCTGGCCACCTGCTGGCTTAGGCCTGTTCCCCAGGGTATTGGGCCTAACCTGGCAGTCAGACATCCCTCTGGCAGCCCGGAAGCCCTTGGGGGATGTCCACTTGCCAGTGGGGAGCAGGTCTAAGCTGCAGTTGGACATCCTTAGTGCTGCTGAGGAGGCGAGAGAGGCTCCCACCACCACCACTGTACTGGCAGCCATCAGCCTGGCTTGTGGCTGAGCAGAGCTCCCCCTGTGGGAGCGCACTGACCACCAGGGGGCAGCTCCTGCATTGAGCGTCTGGCCCCTGCTGGTCAGTGTGTGTCATAGTGACCAGTCATTCTGCTGTTAGGGTCAATTTGCATATTACCCTTTTATTATATAGGATAGAGGCCTGGTGCACGGGTGGGGGCCGGCTGGTTTGCCCTGAAGGGTGTCCCGGATCAGGGTGGGGGTCTCATTGGGGTGCCTGGCCAGCCTGGGTGAGGGGCTGATGGATGTTTGCAGCTGGTCACACCCCCTTCAGGGGGGGTCCCCACTGGGGTGCCTGGCCAGCCTGGGTGAGGGGCTGATGGGTGTTTGCAGGCTGGTCACACCCCCTTTAGCTTGGGGGTCCCCACTGGGGTGCCTAGCCAGCCTGGGTGAGGGGCTGATGGCTGTTTGCAGGCTGGTCACACCCCCTTTAGGGTAGGGGTCCCCACTGGGGTGCCTAGCCAGCCTGGGTGAGGGGCTGATGGCTGTTTGCAGGCTGTTCAAGTCCCCCAAACAATGGAAGCTCCCAGCCTCTCCTTTTTTCTTTTTTTTTATTCTGGGATTTACCTTCTATAATTGAAACTTTGTAGCCTTGAGAGGAGCTCAGAGCCAGCCGGCCAGGGCGGGCAGGAAGGAAGCTTGGTTTCCTCCATCACCAGGGGCAAACCAGCCTTCTACTCGCTCCAGCTCCATGGCTGGCTGAAAGCAGGTATCTGGGGTTTATTTACCTTCTATAATTGAAACTTTGAGTGGAGCTCAGAGCCGGCCGCAGGAAGCTTGGCTTCCTCCATTATTAGGGCAATCAAGCCTCCTGCTTGCTCCAGTTCCATGGCTGCCGGCCACCATCTTGGTTGGGTTAATTTGCATATAGTCACTCTGATTGGCTAGTCGGTGTGGCTTAAGGAGTAGCGAAGGTATGGTCAATTTGCATGTTTGTCTTTTATTAGTGTAGATAGATACTTTTTATTTTCCTACACCCATATTTACTTTATTTTTTAATTTTAATAATAAGGATTATATTCTAAATTAGGAATAATAAAAATGGCTACAAAAAGTGTCTTTTCAATTCACTTTGTTTTTCCTGCAGAGTGCGGATATGAGCCCAGCAAGTAGCACCACCTCACTTCCAGTTAGTCCTCTTACTGAAGAGCCACTGCCTTTCAAGGTAACAAACCAACAAACAAACATGATTTTTTAAAAATAGTTCATAAATATAGTAAAATAGATATTTAATTCTTAAGTGGCAAATGAACTGCTTTAATCTGTAATAATCTTATATCAAATGTTAAAATCATTTTTGTTTCATTTTGTTGTCATTCTAATTGCTAAGTAAAAGTAAAGGCTTGGAATATAAATTAATACTTTCTGGAACATGTTATTTGCTTGGCATGTGAAAGACAGTGTTTTCATTGTAATGGTTTGATGTTACATGAATTGAGGTTCCAAACCTTTTTAATTTAAGCAATAAATTTAGAATGAATGGTCAGCCCTCATCCAGTGTTTAAATTTTCATTGATGACTGTAGGTCATAATTAATTATCTAATCTTTACAAAATAATAGTCAAATTCAGTTATTAAAATATGGAACCATTCCTTCACATTATAATTTTAAAATATTTAAGTAAATATGCAAATAAGTATTTAAGTATTATGATTAGTAGAATTCTTCAGTTTAGGAAGCTTTATATATTAAAAATATGAAGTCATCTTTTTGTTTTAATATTTAAGATTAGATTTTTCTCTTTAGGCCAGAGCTTGTAGCTCAGCTACTTTATATTTGTGCCAGGGACATTTGAATTTCATTAGTATTATTTTAAATAAAGGCACTCCTTAAGAGCAGAAGATAAAAAGAAAAACTTGGAGAGTTAGGATAATATGTGCAATAGTTCAGTGTTGTTTGGTTTAAAGACAGGGAAATGTACATTTGGAGTTCATTATAACTTTCATAATTTTTGTATTTATCATAAAATTATTGTTTTGGGAGTTTTTCTTTTTCATATAAAGACTTATTCAACTTCATACTACTTACACTTAGTGTAGTGACTGGCATGGACTTACATATCGTGAATATTTACTGTGTTGTTTAACTTAAAATAATAGAAGGCTATGAATTTCATTGTGTATCATAGTTTTCTAATTATGCATGCTTTCTTGCTTAATGATAGACAATAATAATTGTTAAAAATCCATTTATATCAGAAAATTGTGAAATACTGAATAGTATTCTGATTGTTATTTATTGAGAAATATTTCTTTATTATCATACAACAAAAAAAAGAAAATAATACAATATTTCAAAGCTTAGTGTTACTTGATATTTTCATCTTATGATGTATGGGACAAAATTTACAGAAGAAACATATTTAACAAGGTTTTCATTGGATTTTCAAAGCATTATCAGAAGCCATTTTCTCTTTTTAATATATTGCTAATGCCTACCTTCCTTAAAAATTGATGTATTTTTTAAGAGGTAAATAAAAGGTGAGATATAGTCTAAAATAAAATGATATACATCTAATATAAATATAATCATTTTAGTTAATGTTTCTGATTGGTTCTAAGAGATAAATATTATTCCTGTGTTAATGTGTGTAAGGGATTGTATCAACAATTAAAAATGCCAAGTGCTTATAATATATAATATTGGCCTTTGTCAATGCATACAATTATAGTATCTGTTATGTTACTTCTTTTGTGAAAGGAATACTATTTATAATTTTTTCAAAAAAATTTATCAGATATAAAAATGTCTCAATATCTAAAATTATTTAAAATTTGAAATTACAAAATAAAATTCCTGTATTTGCTTTTTTATTTTTATATTATAAATTGTTACTATTTGAATGAGTAATAGAATATTTGTTTATCCTTGTGTAGATACAAAATATATAAAAACTCATTTGAGATACACCTTAGCACTAAAATGCATTATAATTGCAAAAATGTGTTGAAAACTGTTTAACACATAAAAGACATTGACGTTTTCTTATAACCATATCTTGAAAAATCCTGAAATTATAATATATTTACATCTAAAACTTTGTTTAAAATTATATTTTACTAAATGGCATGAATGTAGCATGGCCTTTCAAGTTAATATAAAATTAATATTCTTTAATCACTTAGCTTCCTTTTCTTAGAATATGATCCCAGCATCCGACTCCATAGGCAACTGCACTAATGTGGCCTCTTTGATGACTGATTGAGGGAATTGGTTTTATCTTTCCTATTGGAAGTTAAATTACTAAATAAATGCATTCCATTCTTTTCTTGGTCCATCTTGAAAGTACTCATGCAGCAATTGAAAGAAAATATCCTATTTTGACTCAAATATTTATCAAAGTGAATGCTTTTCTTTAATTATCAGCTTTAGAATGACATTCCAATTAAATTGATTTTAACCATATAATCTCAAATATGACATATATTTTTGTTATTTATTTATTTATTTATTCACATTTACACCTTAATAAGTATCTTCCCACTAATATCTCTGTCTTTATTCTTGACTTGAATGTTAGATGAAAAATTGGCTAAGAATAGACCACAGTAAGGTCTATTAAGTTAAATGTGGAAGAAAGCTGGGTAGCATCCTGGAGAATCTCTCAAGGAGTCAAGAGAGGTAGGTTAGACAAGACAATTAGATCTTGTTTGGGACAAAATGCTTCCTTTCCACAATATAGCAGTATTTTTCAACACTATTTTTATTTTTATTTTTTTAATCCTCACCTGAGGATATTTTTCTATTGATCTTTTAGAGAGAGTGGAAGAGAGAGGGAAAGACAATGAGAAACTTCGATATGAGAGATACACATCAATTGGTTGCCTCCTGCATGCGCCCTGACCAGGGCCTGGCCCGGGGAGGACCCTGCAACCAAGGTAAGTGCCCTTGACCAGAATTAAACCCAGGACCTTTCAATCAACAAGTCAACAGTCTATCCACTGAGCCAAACTGGCTAGGGTTACACTATTAATATTGGATCTCATTCTTCAATTTAATTTTTTTAAAGAAAAACAGATCTGCACTGAGAGAAAATCCAATCCCATACTCCCTTCTTAGTGTTCTCCACAGAGCAGGTAATCTCTTACTAAACTTCCTAAACTTGCATTTACCATTTAAAACCTATTGCTGTAGTGTTTTGTTTTGCTTAGCTGGTCTTTCAAAAATGAGGATGTTTCCTACAAATATTCAGGCTTAAACAATTGCAGGGAACTTTGTGCCTTTCTGTCAGATAGAACTGATTGACCAAAGATAAATAGGGCAGGGCACATGAATGTCATTTCACCACAGTCAACACCATTCCCTACTGTATTCATGTCTGACCACGGAAACTTTGACTATATCTTTTCAGAGAAGAAGATGTATAATGCATGATTCTCTACATTTTCTGTAAATAATACATTCACAGATTTCCTAGTCAGACTCTTGGTGCTGAGAATTTTCTAGGATTCCAAAATAAATCTGTGCATGCTATTGCGATAGACATACTTTTGGAGACAAAAGGCAAATATATAACCTTTATTTTTTTAATACAGTAGTCAGCATTACATACACTCTATACACAGCTGCTCTGTCTTGCCACTACATCATTATGAAAGGGCCAAGGGAAAACTAATTTTGCAAGGGTGGGAATAATGTTTTGTCAAATAACCATAATAGAATGATGAAAGTTCACTATCATTCATCTAAGGCTTTGATTTGAAAAAAAAGTGAGAGAGTGCTAGCAGTTTGGCTCAGTGGATAAAGTGTTTGCCTGCAGACCAAAGGGTCCCAGGTTCAGTTCAGTCAAGGGCATGTACATTGATTGCATGTTCCTCCCTGGCCCGGGCCTGGGCCCTGGTCAGGGCGAGTGCAGGAGGCAACCAATGGATGTATTTCTTTCACATCGATGTTTCTCTCTGTCTTTCCCTCTCTCTTCCACTCTCCCTAAATATCAATGGGAAAATATCCTCGGGTGAAGATTAACAGCAATAACAACAACAACAAAAGTGAGAGAGCCCACTGCTCAATTGTTAATTACAGTTTTTTATGTTTTTCTGTAAAATAGCAATGAACCCAGTTGGCATTGTTAAATTTTATATTCCCATTTTACTATATTCTACATTTTCTCTCTGCCATTCTCCCTGATTTCTCTCAACGATCTGATCACTGGCCTCTCTCCCTATGTTAGGCTCAGTCAGATGTTCCACACCAAAGATGCTTTGGAGCTACCGAATTCTACTGTTCTTTAGTAGGATTACCCTATTAACTTATTTGTATATTAACAGTCTCAATCCATTCCTAAGCTAGCACTCTTGAAGATAAAGCTGGTTCATTGTTCCTGGCCCCTCTGTAATAATATATGTTCTTTTGGCCATGTTCTTTTTGCTTGCCACATTCATCACATATTTTAAAATTTATTTATACGTCATCAAAGCATAGGTGCTACATTTTGTCCTTCTTCCTCCAAAAAAACATATTTTCTTTGATTAGATATGTTAGAAAAAGGAACTTTTCTCCCTTAACCTTTTATCCTTACTCTGTGGTAAATTCAAAGAGATAAAAACAAATGCAACTCTATGTTCTTTAGTCTCTACTTCAAAAGTACACAGGGGCACTGAAGTATACCCTCAATTCACCAATCTTCAAAGTCTAAAAATAAGCAAAATAACTCATGCCTTCCTTGGCCCAGCCATTGACAGCCGCTTCTCTGTGATGTTTGGGCTCCTAGACTGTCTAGTGAGTTTGGGTGTCTAGTGCTTGGAATACTCAATGGAGCCACCCTATCTGAGGTCCAGCCACCTTCCCAGAAGCTGCCACGGGGTGGCGCTGGACTCATACCTGGGTCTCCTTGTGCAATCCAAAGTTCTCATGACCCCTTTTCCTCATCCCCAGAAATCATTGTTTAGTTTAGACTAGAAAAACACTCTCTTCAAAATTTCTCAGATATAATTCCTCTCTCCTTTAATTAGCCAGGGTCTGGAAAAAATATTTTCAATGTATTTTTAGAAATAGAATTGAGGAAAAGAATTGTCTGAAGTGTCTGAAGATTCTTCTGTCCTCACACAAAAATCACTTTAAGAATCACAGGGTCACCAGTTTAAGCAAGAAACAAGGTGGAAATAGATAAATAAGTTACAGTCTCAGATAACTTATTCTGTCATGCAATGTTGGAATGTTAGCGG